ATTCCTTACTTCTTTTGAGAGAGAATTAGCTATTAGGATATGACTCTATTCAGGTTATATCCAAGTGGCAATATCTATCTAAATATTTAAAGTAATAGAATTTTAACTCATTTTTGATTCTCTGAATTCCATTTAGTGTAGGTTATATTTTCAAATTTTAAATTTTAGTTTTTATAAATATTACAATTATAAAAAATTAAGATTAAAAATAAAAAATCAAGACCCTGTTTAATATAGTTGTGATTTTAAAATTTTAATTTTATAAAATTTTTAATCATTAAAAATTATAATTAAAAATTATGAATAATTTATATAAAGAATAATTAAAAATTTTTTAATCAAATAAATATTTAATAAGAATTATATAAGGACAAAAAAAATTTAATTGCTATTTATATAGTTTATTAAATTTTTATTTAAAATTTATATTTTAAAAATTAAAAAAATCAAATTAAATCTTTTTGAATAAGTTATCAAGGGTTAAACTCAAAACTCGCCTATAAAGAAAGGAAAATACACCTTAAACTGACAGATGTCTGTTGATTCGAAAGGTTAGGTGTAATTAAATTAAATCTCTTAAACTTTAATAGAGAGGGAATGGTAATACCCCATACGAAATCCTAGGACGTAAGCACTGTGATCTCATCAGGAACTTTTGAAAAAGTTGAGCACTAGAAAATAACTTGTACGTTATTTTTGTTATTTAACTTTCATGGTTTTAAGTTTTAAAAAAAAGGTGAAAAATATTTTTTTTTTTGAAAATTTTCTTTGTTAGTAATCACATGAAAAGCATTAAAAATAAAAAGGTACCAAACTAAATTATAATGTTAAATTATTTTAGTGCTAGAAAATGAGTTATACTTTTAAAATTGTTTAAAAATTTTGAATATTTTATACCAAGCTCTATTTTAGCACTAGAACTTAATATATTATTTTTTTAATGCAAATTGTGTTGGAAAATAGTAGATTAAAAAAAACAAAATTTCTAGTAGCGAGGTTGATTTTATGGTGTATTATTGGCCAGGGGTATTTTTGGGGAAGAGTTTGGACTTTCTCACATATTAATTTTAATATTATGCATAATTGTGCCATGTTATGTGATGAACGAAAACAGACATAAGCATTGTGATCTCATCAGTAACTTGTGAAGAAGCCAAACATATTGTTTTCTCCATTCTTAGT